AGAAGTACCGACAAATGAAATGCATCGACAAATAAAATTCAAATTAAAGCAAAATTGCAATGTAAAGAGTCGGCTATATAAGACTTTTCAATATCCTCAAAGGGGGAGAAGTTTTAGAATTTTTTCATTGGTTTGAAGAATATGAAGAACTGCAAATAAACACTTTAAAAAACACCAATAAATGGCAACCAAACAAGGGAGAAATAAAAACATATCACCCTCCAATGACAGAATTACAATATTCACATAAAAATATAGGTATAAGAGCTACTCTTTTAAGAATGAGATCACTGAATTTAGGAGAACCTATTACCTCAAAAGATATTAAAATGATAGTAGAACAAAATAATTTTACAAACTTGAACTTGCACACCATTTATATATATATATATCCAACCCATTCTCTTGACTTTTCCTCTTCCATGGGAAAGTCACTTTCCCTCTTTGGTCTTGCAAGGTCATTATATTATAAAAGTACCACACCAGACGTGTTAAGGTGATTATATTCAATTAAAAATTTTAAAAAATACGTAATTTCCTTAATACCAAACGGGAGTTAACATTTTCGCCATGCCTTTTTTTCTATCAATTTTTTTGGTGCAAATAATATTATTGTGAATCTTTTTCTTTCTTTTTTTTATTTGCTAAAAGAATCTGTGATCATGAGTGATGTATTGAACTCTCCATTTTAAGAACTTTGGACAATTCCCTTCTAAACCAAGTATTTATGTAATACCCTTTAAAAAAATATATATCATCTTATTTGATAATTACAGATATAGCCTTAGGATTATTAAAAAAAAAAGAAGAAACGATCTTTTTGAAAATAAAGTAAATATATTTTAGTTGGTGTCAGATTACGTTATCATGTTTAAAAAAAAATCAGTCAGTTTTACCTTATCGTATTTTAAAAAGAAAATCTGTCAGTTTTATATTTAGCACATTTAAAAGAAAAACAGTCAATTAATCTTAAAAGTAATTAGTTTTATCTCAACATGTTTAAAAGAAAAGCAATAAAAAACATTACTAGAAGTTAACCCAATTTCATCTTGTCAGACTTAAGAGAAAGACAGTTAAAAGAAAGAGAAAAAGAAGAAAGACAAAAGAAAGGGAAAAGTGTTCAAGGAATTTCTGATTAAGGTATGAATAAGGTTGTATTTTCTTAATTTAAGCACAAAACTCTAAATTATTTTGTGTTTCTTTAAATTTTAGTCAAATCTTACACTGTTTTGATGACTTTCCGATAGCATATGAGTACCGATGGAAAAGTCTTAAAAAGATCTTTCTAATGGTTTTTGTGGCATTTCGTTTGGCTTTATGGTTAGGAAGATACGAATTTTTGAATTTGACTAAAAATTTATTTTTAACAATTTTGATGATCCAACTTTAGGACACCTAAACTCCATATTCCAGTAACATTTTGGGTCATTTCTTTGATGATTATTTGTAGTATGAAATGAGATATTTAATTTGCCTTTAATGGCTTGATTAGGGGCTTCCTGTGTTAAGAGAATTAATGCCTTAAAGTTATTTTGTTGATACTGAAAACTCAAAAATCTAAGTATTTCTGTGACAATTTCTAGACTTTTAGCTTTCAAAACTTGGGAATTTGTGTTCTTTTTAATTGAAACAAATTTTGGTATTGTAGTATGATATGAATATTTCAAATTGGTGTTGATTTTATCATTGGAAATAATTCGGGTTAAAACAGCTCAAGGTAGGTCAAATGGTCATCTAGATTATAGAAATTTCAAAAAATAAAAAATTCTTTTTTAATTTTTTTTAAAATATGACTTTAATTAATATGTGATAAATTTTGTTGTAAACTTCATAAATATTGAATGTTTGATTTCTAATATATTTTTATGTCTAAAAGTATATATATGTATATTTTACAAACTTATTTCTTAAGTTAGTGAATTTCATAAAAATATCAAAAATTAAGAAAAAATTACAAACATGATTTTTATATGAAATTAATATTTTATTTCTATCAGCAATTAAAATCTTTTCTAATTTTATGGTTTAAGTTTAATTCTCAATTTTATTTGATTTTTATTAATTCAAAAAAAATCACCTTATTAATTGAAAATGTTTTTAAATTGCAATAGCGGTTGCTATCACCCTAAGTGCTTAAGATGGTCAACGGAAAGTCGCTTGTCAAATTTGTTTGTAAATACAGTTTTGAGTTTTATATATATTTCTTGAAATATTAGGCAACTACGAGGATTTTTTTATTTGCTGCTTGAAATTGAAATTGATAAAGTTAGGTAACTGATTGATATCACTTTGGTATTTTCACACATTAAAAATTAACCTCAATGTGAAACTGAATTTCATATATTATGTATAATATGTTTTGTTCTATGATTTGTAAAAATCGGGTTGAGTATGCAAAATGTATATATATGATTTTTGTGTGTTGGATTTTAGAATGTGAATTTTGTGAAATATGATTTTTGATTTTGAATTATGAATATGATTTTTTTTGTCTAACATATGCATGTATGATTATCTTTGTGATTACATATGTAAATATCTAGTTTGAAATAAATATACTTTTGATGTGCATGATATACGTTTTGTGAAAGTGAATATTACCGTTTTGTGAATTTGAGTAATCAGAAAATATATTTTGTTTTGTCTCCTAGTATGGCTATGTTATAATCTTGCCAATAGGGGTTAAACATTGGTTATGTCGACATGTATTATATGATTAGAGATTAATCTCCCAACTGCATCACCAATTACAAAATAGTGATACTTGTGATATCTATTTGGAGTAGCCAATGGTTATTTTTGATATACTTATGACCCATGCCATTAGAGTTAATTGTGGTTTCGATATGATTATGACCCATGCTACTGGGGTTAATTGTAGTTTTTGTTATGATTATGACCTATGTCATAGAGGTTAAGTATGGTCATAGCATGTTACGGGAGACTATTACAATCTATAATAATTGTGAAATCATATTTTATCCGTTATTTAAAAATTTTGGAATCAAGATAGTTCTGTTATTTGAATTAGATTACCGAAAATTTTGTTGTTGATATTTGTATGAGAATAAAAATTTTTAGCTTAAATGTTTTGTGCATGTTTAATTTGGTTGAAGGGATGTTAGTCACTTATTGAGTGTTGGACTCACTACTTCACCTTTTTTCAAGTTGTGATTTGATCAAACACGTGAAAAATTTCACGGAGTGACATTTGGTAGGTTAACATATGGTGTTAATTTACTTTAGGATTGTTTAAATATTATGAACCTTTTAGCTATCTTAAATTATTATTTAAGATTTATCTCAATATTTTAGCTTTAAGAATTATTATATTTTATAACTATATTTGACTCATTTTAGTTAGTTAGTTAAGATATATGTTTTGAATCTTACATGCTTGTAGGGTTATATCTTACAAGTGCACAACATTTGTTGTACCTCGGGTTTGAGGGGCGAGACAATTTTATAAAACATTTGTTTGTTTCTCAAAGCATCATATATGTTGTAATAGAGAGGGTGACCTTATCTACACTATTTAGGTAAGTCACCTTTTCAAAATCAGGACCCAAATTTTCTTCAAGGATTTCCTTCCACCTTAAATTTCTTGTACCATAAACGACCAAATCTAGATTCTCTCTTCCAACAATCTGATCTTTCTTTGTTTTTTATAAGCAACAATGTTATCGTCGAAGAGGAGTTTCCTAAAATTAAAAGTAGTGCCTATTTGGCCAGCCTGAGAAATTCCAACAGCACAACAAGAAGTGGCGAAGGTTTGATAGCACTATTAGTTAAACTTAATGCCGTTAAGTTTTGACTGCCTTATTTAACTTTAATCATTCAATTATAACTTAGAGGACACTTGGCATTAAATTAGAGAAGGAGCACTATTGGGGGCACCGATTAGGGGCAGGGGATTTTCATTTAATAAAACCCATATACAATCAAAAACAGCAAGAGTCGCCTTACATTAAATTGGAACGTGAACATGACTTCAATGAACTAACAACAATATAGTATCTCCCTTTGACTGCCATAAGTGAAGCTAAGATTTTAGGTTTTAGAGGACGAAAATAAAAACATTTTAGATTTGAAAGGATGAAAATGAAAAAATTAAATATTTAAAGACATAAAATTTTAAAATTTTAAAATTATTATGAATATTTTGTGAATATTCATTCAAGTTATCTATATCTAGATTTGATGTAAATCATATTAGATTATGATATAATCCATCTAATCTTTAAGTGTTATCTTCATCTTATAAAAAGATTATTTGTCAATAAATAAATCACCTTAATTTGTTTGTATAAACACTTCAATAAAATTTCTTTTCTCCTCTAAATACTTTCTTTTTTCTCTTTAAGTATTCTTTTTAAGTTATTTTTATTTATCTTTATAAAATTATTTTTTTATAACAAAAATAAAATTAAAAAAATACAAATTTTTGTAATTTTGAGGCGCCTACTAATCCCCCTCCCTCCCCTTCACTCCTTCCTATGGATGCCGATGGCCCAAGCCTAGACTGATGTCCCATCCTTATTATCGAAGAACCTATTTGGGCTTTTTGTTTAAAAGATAAAGAACAAGAAATTCTGCTGTCAACAAAAAATAACGTTATTTGGTGTCGTGGTGTAGTTGGTTATCACGTCAGTCTAACACACTGAAGGTCTCCGGTTCGAGTCCGGGCGACGCCAAAAAACAATTCTTTAAAGGAATTCTTATTTTAGTCGTTCAAACAGTTTAGACTCCCAAAAGTCAATGAGAACATCTTCAATCGCGCGATCAGGTGAACGACCGCGGAACCCCCAATTCCCTGACAAAATCAGGTGAACGACCACGCAACTCCCCGATTCCCTGACAAAATTGTGTATATTTCTTTTATTCTGTTCTGTGACGTTTCGCTCTAACTTCTTCTTAATCATGACGCGCTTTGCTTTTGCTATAACTCGTTATTTAAACTGCGGTTGTGCTGGTGGCATAATTTCACTCATCAGCATCATCTTCTCAATCTGTTTGGACTCAGAAGTTGAGCTACACAAGTTATAGCAACCCGATATAACATGGCACCCAGAAAGACGAAGCAGCAGGCGCTGAAACCAAAGACATTGAAGAAGAATTTGAAGGCGAGGCTCCAAGCGGAGCAACTGAAAGCGGTGACGGGAAAGATCAGAGAAGATCAAAAATGCATAAGAGAGAAACAAAGAGAACTGAGAGGACGGTTTGGAGAGATTGAAAGGCAATGCGTGCAACTCAAAGAAGCAACTGAATTGATCGTGAAGCAAACTGCCCGCACGCAGATTAAGCTCCTTCTCATGCTCAAAATCATGAAAGCCCGCCGAGGTGGAGACTTTAAGGAAGCTGCTATGCTCACTCACTTCCTTCGGTTCGTTTCTACAAGCCTAATTCTCATGTTATATAACATATGTATTTTCATGTGATTGACATTGGTATCTTACTGTTTTCGACCATTTAATCATATGCAGTGTAATTGTTTCCAACGAAAGAGCAAATGCAAGCTCGGCTGAAGCCAGGAATGAACAGCCACAGAGAACTCCCCTAACATGCAGCGACTAGGGAGCCCTTAGTGAGGGCAAACATCAGAGTACTGAGCTTCTGATACTGTGTACAAAAAAGTTTTCTCTTAATTGCGTATCGATAAAACTATATAACTCGAAGGTTTTAAGTTAGGGTTTTAATTGAAAAGAATGAAATTTGTAAATGTGAAATATCTGTGTTTATTGTAGTGTTCACAATGTAATGGATTTGTAAATAATTAAAAAAGTATGTATGTTACATATAAAATACGTTTGTTAGAAGTTTCTTTAAGTCCTGTGTGTATGAATAATCCTAGAGTATAATTACTTGAATAAGTCTTCGCTAAAAAGGCGTGAGCAGTTGATATTCATTAATGTTATGAAATAGAAAATTAATACAAAATCATATCTATGTGAAAATTAAAAAGACCATAACCAAGTTTATCAGCATTTCAGTAAGGGACTATTTGAACATGTTATTAAATAAAACAAAGTAAATGAAGGTCATTTAACATCAGAATCAAACTTAAACCATATCTAAAACATAAAATTAACGACACCAAAGTCAGATTAAAACCCATCCCCTCCCAGAATAGAGCACAAAAACGAAGTCTTGGTGGATTCAATATATATAGTTACTACTTTCTTACGTGCAATTGGGTTTGTTTATATCTTGTAACTGACGTTGGAAGAACGATAAAGTGAGGTTTGGCTTGAACTAAGTAAGCATTTGTCAGAGTTATTGGCGCATAGAAGCTTTCTCCGGAAACAAAGCTGAACCAGTTTTTCATCGATCTTGCATTCATTTTTCTAAAATTGTCTTCCCCTAGGCCCTATTCCTTCCAAAAATGGGAAACAGCATAACTTAAAAAACACATTAAAGAAACCACCCACATAGTATTGCCTTAGACCTTCTCAAAGAAAAAAAAGAACAAGAAACATAGAGGAGCGTAACGATCGAGGTAAAAGTTTGATTTGATGAGACTATGAAATGAAAGTTAAGTGTGATGGTTGAGACTTTTCCGGTCAAGTGTAATGGATTTAGTGAAAGTTTACCATATTATCATTAGGTATAAAATAGGAAATAGTAGCAAAATTAAATATGATATTTCAATTTTTAATATACGCGTAAAGTAATAAAATAATGATGATGTGGATCAAGGTAATTTCATCATTTATACGAATCCAAAATTCTAATAGCCGTGCTTTTGAAAACTTATTTTATAATTAATATAATGTATTTGAAATTTTTTTAAAAAAAATGTAAATATAAGGATTTTTTATATAAAAGACTAAATAACAACTTTATCATTATGCTTGGTCAAAGTTTCTAAGAAACCTTGACTCTTGCTTTTTACTTAACACATGACCGACCATCACTTAGAAACATTTCTTTTTTAAAAAAAAAGAAAAAAAGAAAAGAATTAAACTTCCAGGAGAAGCTTTAGCATTTCTTTAATCTTTTGATTAAGTAAGTAGCACTTTTGCCTTTTTGACTAAGTCAGAAAGATTCAATTCGAAAGTTTATTATTTTCTTTCTTCCTTTCTTAGTGAAGATGAATTGATTAGAATCACCTGGGTTATTTTGATAAAATAAAAAACTTGTGCCACCTTTAAAGCTAAGAGGATTGTATTTGACTAGTGCATACCTTTTATCTGGGATAACTCATTTGTCTTTATATCATTCATGTTCACTGCTCAACCTTGTCAATTCTGATTCATCATGGTCTTTAAGAATAGAATTCTTTCTGACACACAGGTTTCATTAAGGATGGCAAATGCAGAGTATACTCAAAGATTTGAACTTATGATAGAACTAGCTAAACTTTTTTTTTTCTCTCATCTTCCCCAGTTAGTGGAATACCATCCCATTTTCCCTCTCTTCCGTTTTCTTCATTCTTTTTCTGTTGTTCTTTCCTTTTTCTTCTTCCTTACCAATTAAACAAAGAAAAATCAATAGCTCATTTTCCACCTTCTTCCCATAGCTGAACCTTAAGAGAGTTCTTCATTTCTCCATTTATACTCCATCATTTTCAACACAAAGGCTTCTAGTTTCAAATCTTCATTTTTAAATCTAATAGGTATAAATTTGCAACTCCTAAATTTTCAAATTTATAGGGGTATATTTTCATAATTTATTTTCTAATTTTTTTATTTTTTTTCTTGAAAATATTAGGTTTTGTTAATTTTTACACCTCCAAGCTCACCAAAGTAAGGGAACCTTAAATTTGAATAGTTAGTTTAATGGGTTCATGAATTAGACTAGAATTCTTGATTAAGTGTTAGGTTAGAATGTAGTTTATCGAGTGTATACTTATTAGAGTTATTAAGGTCAAATTTATGGTATATTTGAGGTTATTATTATTTATTGGTAAATATAGGTTCTATTGGTACTTCAAGACTCAACTTGGATTGAGGTCTTATTAGTGCTAGTTTTGGTAAGGTAGCATAAAAGGTGAGTGAACTTGCATATAAAAAAAGTTTTGGAAAGAAATGCATATGTGTTTAAATAAAATACTTGAAACTACTTATTTGAATCTTTTAAAATTTGCATGGGAACAATTTTTTGATGAGTGATATCCTTATGCTACAAAATGTGTAATGTGATGAACCATGTGTTTGAATTATTATATTGAATTGCAAAGTGAATTGTGGTGTGTGATACATTGAGAATCTTGCGATGTTGTAACTAGTGGTATGATAGTTAATATTATTTTCCTTAGAAGTTGGATTGTGTAACCATGTATATGACCAAAAATAATGAACTATATGAAAGGTATTAATATGTAAAGATTCTTGTTTACATGTTGTTATGTATGTTATGCTTTAGGAGGGATTGTCAAATGACATTTTACAACCGTATGTGTGCAGTGTGGGAGTACACATGGCAATAATAGTAGTGTACAGTGTGGGTGAACTCATGACATGATGATCGTGCGAGGTATGGGGGTACACATGACTTGTGTTGAGGTAAATGGCTGTATTCACCAGAGCATATTGACCATCCTTGGCAATGAGTTAGATATCTTTGAAGCATCTCTAAAAAATATAGATAAATACTTATATATATGTATACATATACTATAGAGATGTTAGAGAAATGTAATATGATTGCATTGAATGTTGAAGGTTGGAAGTCCTAAATGTTTTCAAAATGGTTTAAAGAACAGTGTAGCATCAGGTTTGGCTTTTGAAATATAAATTGCATTGTTTCTAACATAAATGCATTGTGTTAAATAAAACCTTTTGTGTTGTCTACTTGTTGCCTTCCTATGTTCACTCACTGGGTTTACACTCATTTTTTTTAACTTCATATTTTGGTTTTCAAATTCAAAGGTAGTTGGATCTTAAATTGAGGTGCCTTATCATACTTATCTTTCAGTCGGTTTACCATGGCACTCAATAATAATACCCACACCTAGAGTCACTTCGCTAGTAGTCAAGGGTCTTTTGCATGTGTTTATGGATGTTTATTGCAAATTGCGAGATTTGTTTGTAAACATTATATATCTAGTTTGATTAATAATGTCGTCACAAGTTGACAAGTGATAACACTATTTTGAGGATGGCATACGCTTGGTTGTCATGATTTAATCTCAAGGAAATTTATTATTGAAAATTATAAATTATGGATTTTAAAGAATGAGGTGTGATAAATGGACTAATGAACGTGTTTACATAGAGAGGCTTACTTAGGCTTAGTGGGCTACGCCTATTAGGCCCATGCATCGGTCATGACTCGAGATTGGGCTATGACACTAAATGTATTTTTTATTAAAATTAGACATATGCATTTTGAAATAATAATATGAACCTCTTTTCATAAAAATATGTAATTAATTATATTATAATTATTAGAAAATCTACAATCTTTTTTATTTGTCTCTCGTACATATGTATTTTTTATTTCAATAATGTGTATATCTTATTGTAATAAAACACATGTTCCATTACAATGTAATTTTTAGAATATTTACAAAACATTTTATATATTTCATACTTTGTATAATAATATATACATCTTATTATAATCATACATAGTTGTCTAAAACCTTTTTAATATTAGTAGTCTATTTAAAATACATAATTTTTTTTACCATTTGGTTTGAACTAAACTATACTCAAACACCTCATTTTATTCGGATGAATTTATCATATATATTTATTTATTTTTAACTGAATTAGTTTATTTTTTGACCTAGTTAATTTTGTTTTCTTAAAATTAATCACATTTTTTAATTTTTTTCATCTAATTAAATTCTCATTTCGGCCCACCTATCCTTATTGTGAGGCTTATTTATAGTTTGGGTTATTTTTATATTAATTTAAATTTTAATCCAATTAAGATTTAGATTGTATAAGTTTAGATAGCCTAAAATTAATTCCCATAAAATATAAAGGTATAACAGCTAAGAAAACTTGTAAGGTATTTAAAAATTTTCAAATAAGTTTCTATTTTTTATTTGCATTTAATCAAATTTTATATATATATTTTTGAGATAAATAGACCTTTATTATTAAGAGTTGACTAATTACCATAAGTTAAATTGACACATGTTATTTTATGCTACATAGATTGACATGGCATACTGTCTTGTTGTCACATCCCATTTTGTGGTGGGATTTGACCTGCATAAGGACCTAGACGAGTATAACCCGCTAGGCCCAAGTAAGCTTCATTTTATTCATTCATTAAACTTTCATTATCATATACGAAAACATGCATTCAATCATCCATACGCATACATTGTAATCACATGCACGCAACCATAGGTAACATTACATAGTTATGGAACTTCTCAATAAAACAATGTAAGTGCAATCATCTCATATATCATCAGAGTGCCATAACCTCATGCACAGTATTATATAAATATTTATCAACACCCTCGAGTGTCCATGTATGCTATCGAGCCACCTGTGGACATTTATCCATGACATTCTTAAAGTAAAAGGCCAAACATTGACTATATCATCATAAACATGTTTATTATCCATAAATATAAATATAAATAAAGATCGACTCGTCAGTAGAACATGATCAGACTAAACAGATCACTAATCTAACTGAACGGATCACTAATCTGTATGCTCAACACTTACCTATGAAGAATGAACGAATCATGTCCCCATGACACTGGTTGTTGGCAAGAGAGTGCTATTACTGATCTGCAACAAAAGTACATGGAGACA